CAGATTGCATCTTGTTTGTTTCTTTTGTGACACGCTGCATTAGCTTGATCTATTCTGCAGTAGAAGCTTTTTTAATATAAATTCCGTTTAACTATTATCAGGTACACAACTAAGTGAACTATCAGTTTGCTTCATTTTTGCCCCATTCAATGTTCGTTTGTTTTTTTAACAAATATTTAATTTTATGTAAATGAAATGTCTTCTTCTTCTTCTTCTTCTTCTTCACGTTCACCGACTGTGAACTCCGGCGCAAAGCTCTGGTTGTTCACCCACCTCTGGACTTCAGACTTGTTTCAGAACATGAGTGTTGCATGCATATTCGTTGTAAAGATCTGACTTATATGTATGCAGACTGTTGGTTTCCTGCCTCTCAGGCAGACGCACTCCGACTTTGAAGGAAGCACCCAATTAGTCGACTCTTACGACATGCTTGTAGGGGAAGCAGTAGATCTATTCTTGTTTTCTCCACAATGGGACTCTAGAACCCACACAGGAAAATGAAATATCAAACTCAATCATCAGAATCATCCAAAGCGACTCTTCTTTACACAGAGGTACCTCGGTTCACTAACGCTTCCAGTTACGAACAAATCGGCCCACGAAAACAATTTCCTAATAAATTTTGTCTCGACCCACAAACAGCGCCTTGATGCGCGAATGCTCAAACACAGACTTGGCGCTGTTTTCGGCTAATTACAGTTGTGCTCAGGTTTGCCAGCTGTGAACACTGTTGTTTCATGCATTGTTCTTGATACAAGTGTTGTTGTTGATGTTGCAGCTTTATTTTTTTTTTATGAACCCTTATATTTGTCGGCTCTGTGGCTAAGTCGATGCGAACGCTTCGTAATGCCGGGGTGCCGGGTTCGATCCCAGCTGTAGGCTATGCGCCCTACGTTGGTTTCGACGGTGGTATCAGGGGGCTGACCGTTCAGAGGCAATCTCAAACTACTGGACGTACATTTGCCTAGAGAAACCACACAACAGCCAGGGGCTGCTGGGGCTGGTTCTACAACGTCCTGTAAAGGATACGCAACTCCCAAGAAAGTGAAAAAGTGTTAGTGATAGTGGTGTTAAGAAGCCTGTGCGTGCTACAGAAGAAGCAAGGAAGGAAATAACTAAATATGAGAATCGTGTCCAGGCTACGTTCCTACAATCTGTACTATCTTAAAAAATCAAGTTCACCTAAAGATGACACATGTGGCGAAATAAGTGAAAATGTTGAAGACGTGAAAGTCTCAAGTGTTAAAAGAAATAGACAAATTATTGTTAGCCATCAATCGACCTATTTCCCAAGATACAAACAAGATAAAACATCCCAGAAATATCTACACAGTTGCCTGACATTATTATGGAATGGGACTTTGAAGGAGAAGTCTTTCTCCTCCTCCTCTACGACTACCTGTGCCAGCAACTATCAACTGCAAAAGTAAAGAAAGTTTTACTGTATATTTCATATCATATATTTTGCCACATATAAATCCACACACAATGAAGGGGTTTTTGTTGGGGGTGGGGGAGGATGGGGTGGGGGAAAGATATGCTTCTGGGGCAGGCGAACGGATTAACTGGATTTTATTTCAATGGGAAAAATTGATTCGGCTGGCGAAGATTTCGGTTCACGAACGGAGTTTAAAAAAAAAAAAAATTATGTTAGTGAACCTAGGTACTACTGTACAAGCTAATAAATGTTTCCTGCACAAAAGTCTCTCTTACCAGTATAACTTTAAATAAACGACACACTTACCTATCATCCTGCGGTTGCGGTAGGGCTGCGTACTTGACAATTGTTTATTTTTGACATAAATGTATTTGGCAGTGATAGGCGTTCTTGTGAGAGGGGTACAGTCCTGTATGGATTAGGGTTAAATAAGCCAGTTAGGGGTGCAGTTTTGAGACACTTGTTTATTTCGAAACAAATACAATGATTTTGAAGCAACTACAAAAACAAACACAGACGGATATAAAAAGCATGCTGTTTGTGCAATAAAAGCAGAAATGCAGTTTTATAAGGTAATATGTAGGTTTGGACGGAAAGTATGCAATAAACGTTAAAAAGTGCAATTTAATCAATTTTCTTTTTTATCTTATCGTCTTTCGTCTTTTTCTGGCTTTTCTTGTTTCTTTGTTCTCGTTCTTATTTTTTATTTTTCTTCTTTTTGTGGTTTTTCTTCTTTTTTTTTTTTTTTTTTTTTGGTCTCGTTCTTATTTTTATTTTTTTTTTTTTTTTTTTTTTTTTTGTAAATTAATTAGTCTCTTGTTTTTTTTTTTTTTTTTTTTTTTTTGCTTTCCTATTGTTATTTTTTTAATTCTTGTTCTTTTTGTTCTTGTTGTTGTTGCTGTTGTTGATGATGTTACTGATGATGTTTTTGTTGTTGTTGTTGTTGTTCTTCTTCTTCTTCTTCTTCTTCTTCTTCTTCTTCTTCTTCTTCTTCTTCATCATCATCATTATCATCATTTATTTCTTCAACATCTTGTTCTTTTTTCTTCTCTTCATCCTCCTCCTATTCAAATTCCAAATGTTCCTGACCTGAATCCATCTTTAGAATAATTTTACAGACTATAACATCTGGTAGTGGCTCAGTGATCCTAGTTTAAATACTCGGAAGTGGTATAATTATTTCCCCACTAACAAAACTCTGGGATCTCGTCAAATTTGAACACCAGAGAAACCCACCTTTTAAATCGAGGCCTAGAATATCTGAAAGCCAAGCGTTCCAAGTGTAGTATCTTTCATGGAACAACCTTTTCACTTTTCAGTCACTCTTGACTCAAGTGCATTCATTACAACATCTGATATATAGCATAGAAGGGCTGCGTGGTTTCTAGGTATGGTGTCCGCCTCGAGTGCTAGAGGTCTCGGGTGCAATCCCCGGTGAAGGCTGGTATTTTTTGTTTCTTTTGTTCACGTGGACTTGTAGTAATTACCCCTGGTCTCTGGGTAGTGAGATCGGACGCCCGTGTGTATTTTTGCGCACGTAAAACAAATCCCTTGGCAGTTGGAAATCGAAAAGAGTAACCTAACGGCACTGCCCGGGCATAATTTGGAGTCAAAAATCTACCCAAACTATTTCAGGACCCTCGCCGGTGCTACGGAGCCCGTGCACTGTGCTGAGCTACTTCGGACATAGACTTAGAAGTTAGAAGTAGAACAGAGCACTTATGGGTTACTACCTGTGTGCCATCATGTTGATCCGTTGTTACAAACTTCATGTACAGCATATATCGGGACAATGAACACAAGTTAGGTTAAAATCGAGAGGATCGACTTACTACCCTGGGCGTATCCCCATATAGCTAGGTCTTTTTCCACAGAAAAGCAGCCCCCTGCCGAGAGCATGGACAAAACAAGAACTCCGTAGCTTCAGCGACAATCCTTGGGGATATCTATAACCAATGGCATTGGTTAAGTAAACGATAGTCGATGAAAAAACGAACCCACGGTCTTCGGGGCGCGAGGCAAATGTTTTGCTTTGTTGGACTCCTGGACAGCTGACCTTTTTTCCATGCCCTCTAATGCAATTTGGCATACAGTAAAAACACAGGACTCTGTCACGTCTTCAGGCTGTCCAATCGGGCTTATATATATATATATATTATAAACAAACTGACACTTAGTGAGTCATGTGATCAGTATAATGCCGGTCGCCTTTACTTTTCAGGACTTTAACTGGTACCAATTTTAGGTTGGGTCTATCCAATCGTCTGTGGCTTAGGCGTTGCGAACGTGCTTCATAATGCCGGGGTGGCGGGTTCAATCCCAGCTGCGGACGTTGCGTTGGTTTCGACAGTTGTATCGAGATGTCGACCGTCTAGAAAGCAATGGCAAACTACTTGACGTAAATGTTGTCTAGCAAAAACCATAACAACCCCTAAAATAATGCTGGGGTTGGTTCTGCAACGTCCCTTAAAGGTTACGCAACACATTGTTTGTATCTAGATAGAAACTAAGGTCATTCTGAGGTTTGGGCGAAGGATCAACATCATGGCTCACGGGTGGTAACCAATAAGTGCTCCGTTCTTCTGTCTGAGTGTGAATCCAAAGAAGCTCAGCACAGTGCACAGGATCTGAAGCAACGGCGAGGATCCTGGAATATTTTGTGTTGATTTTTAACTCACAATTTTGCCGGGGCAGGACCTTTAGGCTACTCTTTTCGATTTTCAAACGCCAATGGAATTTTTACGCGCGCAACAATGTACACGGGCGTCCGATTTCACTACACAGAGACCAGGGGAAATTATTAGAAGTCCAAGTCCACGTGAAAAAATCCCACCTCTTACCGGGGATTGAACCCAGACCTCTAGCACTCGGGGCAGACACCATGGCTCGAGACCACACAGCCCCTGGGTCATTTTAAAAGAAGGAGAGGTATCTGACTCGATACGGATGAGAACCGCTGACCGCGCCTAAGGCAAGCATTTATCAAGCATCTTCCTCCCTCCCTCCCCCAATCCTTCGGACAACGCTTATGCATTCAGGATGTTAAACTGTGACGCTGGAGATGTGTATATTCAGAAGAATAGGTCGCATTTCATGGAACCAGGACAGCCAAATACAGGGGTTTTGGAGAACCATAGGAATTAGAAATGGAGCTACCGTGGTGTAGCAGCTAGACGCTTGCCTGCAGATCTGAAGGTCGCGGTGTCAGGACCTGAGCGAGCCCTTCTTTTTTTTTTTCGCCTTTCAGAAATGACCTTGGCTCCCAGGGTGACCCAGCCTTAGATAGGTACCAAGTAGTGTCACTGGGATGTAAAGATGGCCGATCTGATGTTGGCCACATTACCTACCTAGTGATAATTGGTCTATAAAATATATGTCTACCCCTATGTGCACAGTACGTCTAAGTAGCCTATCCAACCGAAAGAACTCTATAGCTTATAAAAACATTTCCCAGGTGAGAAGTACCAATAATCAGCTTAGTCAAACTATAATCAAGACCGAGAAATAAACACTGAGGCGAGAAAGCTTTCATCAGCACACGGCAAAAATGGACAATGATAGTTTACGAATAACTCTCTCCAAACAGTGGATTATATCGTCTGCCAGAGCAGTCTTCTGACCCAGGAAGTGCAAATGTGTGTTGATTTCCGCCCTGAATAGTGCTGCCGTAGAAGCCATGCTCTCCGGCCTTCATGCAGATCATCTTGGAGTTGTTTGGAGTACCTACACATCTGGAACAGGCAAGGCAGCACATATATTAATGTTGTAGTCTAGTTTCAGGAATATGGGGTAGTTTCATTAACAAGTATGGAATCTTTAATGAAAATAAATATAATATCAAAATTAATTCTTGAATAAATGTTAATCTTGTAATTGAATAGATGTAGACTTTCGTAGTTTAATATATTTAGATATTGATACTTCATTTTTCCCCCCTCAGCTAGTTTAGATTTTTGTACTTAAAAAAAAACTTAAATTCGTTTGTGAAAGGAAACATATCCTGATCATAAGCCATTAGATGTCTTTTGAAACAACATGATTTTAAGCCCCAGTCTTGTTTCCCAGAGCAACATGATATTTAAAAAAAAAAAACTGCTCAAGATAGATAGCCATAAAGAAACACATACCTGAGAGTAAAATAGTTAAGTAACGGCTGTTCAAAATAGGTGGCCCTAAAGAAACATTTATCTGAGAGTAAAATAGTTAAGTAACGGCTGTTCAAAATAGGTGGCCCTAAAGAAACATTTATCTGAGAGTAAAATAGTTAAGTAACGGCTGTTTGAAATAGGTGGCCCTAAAGAAACACATACCTAAAAGTAAAATAGTTAAGTAACAGCTGTTTGAAATAGGTGGCCCTAATTAAACACATACCTAAAAGTAAAATAGTTTAGTAACGGCTGTTTGAAATAGGTCCAGACCAAAAGTAACTTACCTGCAGTAGTCATCTCTCCCATCGCCGTCCATGTCCCTCATGAACCAGGTGTTTGAGTACCCGACCTCAAAGCCAAGCTTGGAGACGTAGTGGTGGCCTTGACCTGTCGACCCTGAGAGGTTACAAGACATAAATCGTCTTTTGCCTCGGCCGATTACTCTGGAGAAGAAAGATGTAATCTAGTTAATTTTTTTTTTTTTTTTTCAGAAACGATGAGTTGTAAACCCTTTGGTTTGATATTATTGACATCGCATCTTTTTGGCCTTGATTCCATAAGAGATACTGTAAATCTGGAACATATGTGGCTTTTCTACCCACAGGAGTGAAGTCGCACCACAAGAATGTTGTCACCTGGTCACCGCGCAGCTAGTTTGATTAACTTAGCTAGCGCGCCGGGCAATTAATTTGTTAACTTTAGGTAGTTACTTAAAGTACTGGTCTCCGTGGCGAAGTGGTCAAGCCATTCTGATTGTCGTGGGTTTGTTTCGCGGCTTCGCCCTTTAGTTCACCAGTGCAATTTTTACGGAAATCCCTGCGGATCGTCGAAGGAGCTACTAAGTTCGTGCTCTGTGCGACGCTCGAGGCACGCGGTTAACCGTTCTACAGAGAAAGACCAAGATAAAGGGGTAAAACCCGGTGCAATGAAGTCGATGCTCTCAACATTAACCTTTTTTGTTAACGTTTTTAACTGGAGTTCGGCTCTGTGGCTAAGTCGATGCGAACGCTTCGTAATGCCGGGATGCCGGGTTCGATTCCAGCTGCGGGCTATGCGCCTTGCGTTGGTTTCGACAGTGGTATCAAGAAAGCCGACCGTCCAGAAAGAAATGGCAAACTACTCGACGTAAATTTGCCTAGAAAAACCACACAACAGCCAGGGGCTGTTGAGATTGGTTTTGCAACCTCCTGTAAAAGATACGCAACTAACCATTTTAACTGGAGAGTTTTTTGGAAATGCCTGCCTGGTCTCAGGACTCAGCCAAGGTGAAACTGCAGCTGCTGCTCTGTGCTGTAGAGGATGCTAAACACACTGTGGTGTGGCCAGCGCAGCTACGGGGGCCGAATCTCTGCCGGAATAAGTGGACACCCTAGGGATGCCCTCTACTATTAGCAGCAGTATCAACAAGCAGAACACTTACTTGCACTAGCAGTTTAAACATACATCTAGTTGTCATTTTGTCTTATTTTCAGTATGTGAAAAAAAAAAAAACCGATTCAAGGGAAACAATCAGCAAGCTTACAGTAAACAGAATAACAGGAACTTTTTTTTCGAGACATCAATTTGCACACGTTTCATATGCGTTTCCTTGCGTTGGTTTCGACAGTGGTATCAAGAAAGCCGACCGTCCAGGAGAAATGGCAAACTACTTGACGTAAATTTGCCCTAAAAAAACCACACAACAGCCAGGGGCTGTTGGGGTTGGTTCTGCAACGTCCTGTGAAGGATAAGCAACTAACCTCATATGCGTTTGCACTCTCGGGTGGCTAACTCCAACATCAGCTCCCCCGTGAGTTAGATGAACACAGTTTCTCATTATATGTGGGATAGGCTGTCAAAATAATCACCACGCATCGCTGCACGTGTAAACTGATTTCCAGTCTCCACGCGTGTGTAAATTAGTGTGTGTGTAAATATATGTATGTATGTGTGTAGAGAGAGAGAGAAGGGGGGAGAAAGAGAGAGGATAGATATACACACATTTTTAGTCAAGCAAAGATTTAAAAAAAAATACCGCTTCAAGAGAACAGCGGCACCTGAGCAACTGCAAACTATAAACATGGGAAATCTAAGGTCATATGCAAAAATTCATGTTGATTCGTACAGGAGTTTTCGAGATATTTGTTTAAGTGTTACGGCACGAATTTTGGAAGGCACTATGCTTCTACTCCTACCAGTGCTGTTCTGTTTCAGTTGTTAATTCCCTTGATCTTTTCCCTTCCTTTGGGTTGTATCAGGTGTCGAGTCGGCATTTGGTGCTGTAATAATATCCTACCCCAGATAACGTCACAGAACAGTCGAACATTTTAGAGGGTGATAAGACTGGGTTTCCTGACTTTATGATGCTGTCAACGACCACAAAACATCTAGAACTGGTCCTAACTCCCATCCCATCTACGTTGCACCGAGAGTGCAGCCTAGGTCCCACGACTGCATGCAGTCTAGGTCCCACGACTGCATGCAGCCCATCTACCACACCCTGAAATATTAGACTGTCTCCAGACCTGTGGATTTCCCCTGTTTGGGGTAGGATATTAATAAAGCACCCTGCATTTCACTTGGCATCTTTAATGAAGGGTAGTTTGCCATTGTTTTCCTTTTTGAAAGTGACCATCCTAACCTGCTGACCGAAGCTATTGACCTTAAGTGTGAACTATACTTCAACTGACAAATATTTGATTCTGGAGATTTGTTATGTTATAAAAATCGACGTCATTGCACATTCGGCATTCCCATGCGTGCTCAGTCCTTCGATGCAGCAGTCACTCCAAGGTACTTCAACTGATTGTTTCCATGAGGAGTTGATTATAGTATCTCCTGTCTTTACCTCGAAGGCGGCATAGATGTGCTTCACCAATCCTAACTCCTCGGTCCTGCAGTCTTGTTAACGTAAGAGATAGTGGAGAGATAATGTAATAATGAAATGAGAAAGGGAATATTAAAGTAAGAACAGAGGTAGAATAGGTAACTATAACAAATACATAAGACAAAAGGAAATTATTTTATGTCAGGTGAAATAAATTTTAACCACCACGCTTTCAAAATGGGGCTTTCTCTTAATAAATTTTATTAGTCAGACCACAAACTCTCCGAGTGGATTCCGGGGCCCATTGTATTGGGGGTGGAGGGTATGGGGTGGGGAGGGGAAATAGACTCACTGCCCGGAAGAAGCATATCGTAAATTGTGACTAACTAGAGCTCTGCTGAAATCGGCAGGTTTGGACCAAAAGGCGCAGATAACGCAGTCCGGCTGTAAACCACAACACGATGCGTTAATCGACTTTTCTAAGGTGAACGCAGAAGAAGAAAGTGACCAAGAATAATGCATTATACAGTTGCCTGACATATGTCGCTGTATCTCGTTTGGTGAATTAAAATAGACCTTACGTCAATATAAAATGAAGCCTAAGACATGAATCATTATAACTGAAATGGTATGATAGAATCACTAATTTAGAGCTTTGGGAGAGAACTAAACAAGTTCCAGTGAACTAAGAGATGGAGAAAAGACGCTGGCGTTGGATAGGACACATAGAAATAAAGAAAGACCCAAAAAAAAAGGGAAGCTAGATAGAGAGCGAAGTTTAAAAGATGGCAATGACATGGGAACAGTTGCGTTCGATAGCAAAGGATAGAACGACTTGGCATGAGTTGGTTTAGGGCATATGCTCCACTGGGGAAGGGGAGGGGGGAGGTGTAAGAAACGCAAAAGAAGAAGGAGAATACATAATTCGCAACATCTCTGGTTTTGTTTTACATCTTACCAAAGGATGTCTAACATGAACCGCCGGATCACCATAACCAATAACCAATGGGTTAACTTTTTCAGTCCCAGCAAGCGCATCATGTATGATAAACTTGTTTTCATGAATCCCAAACATTCCGCAGCATGTTCTGTTACCCTTGGTTTTTTTTTTTTTTTTTTTTTTTTTTTTTTTGTGATAGAATGATAAAGAAATCTTGTATTCTTAACTGCCTCTTTGGAATTTAGCTACTTGTGATTTTTCATATAGGTTATTTCTCTCTTTAAGCGCAAGCACCGTGAAAAGTTCTGGAACTGAAAGACCTAATAGTACTTACCTGCAGTAATCGTTAGCAGCCCCTGTTCCCTGAACGTCCGCCCAACCTTGGAACAAGGTCGGGTCGCCGAGGTCAGTTATATCATAGCGCCGTTCTGGAATGGAACCCGCAGAAGGCGACAAGACCTCCACATCGTAGTTAGCATCATTGCCGAGCTCAACATCCAGGGAGGCAAAACGGGCAACCTCATTTGGCAGAGTCTTAATGTTTATGGATGTTTTCACAAATGTCACGTTACTGGACCCTGAAGATACAGTAAGTATAGTTTAAACATTAGGTACGAGTTAAATTTCAGTAATAACCAGGTGTTATCTCAATTCATTCAGTTCTAATAAGTTGTCGTTCTTCTTTAGCATTCCAAGCCCTTGAGGTTCATTGCTTCAGACATCACCCACCTCTTTTGATCTCTGCGGTTGCCCTTCGATTTCTAGTCAGTGACAGCAGGTGTTTGAATGTCTGCCTGTATATGATCTCTTCGTCGTCTTCTTGGTCGACCACGTGGTCTGTGTCATTAAGCTCTACTAGGTATGCAGTTTTTGTTTTTCTGTTATATATAATTCTCTCTAAATTCCCCAAACATTGCATTAGCTTTATGGTGCCAGTAATTAACGGTTATTTAAACATGCTATGAACTACTTTGTAGCTTCTTGCTCTGCATTCTTTGCTGTCTGCATCGTTGATGAATTCAAAGATTCATCTTAAGACTTTATTCTCATTAGCTTACAGAATGTTTTGGTCTCTTTTAATTGTATAGAAGTAATCAAAACATTGTTTTTCCAGTAGTGTATTTCAAATATTGCAGACACATACAATATATTCCACAATTTATTGCTTGGCATATTGCGCCCCATATCTTTGGCGGCTTTAGTATGGCGTTACATGAATCCATATTGAAACTTCAAAACTGGATTTATGTCACTGAACTATAAAGGGTCTCTCTCTCTCTCTCTCTCTCTCTCGATACATTGTTCGTGAATTCGCCGAAAGTTGACGATAGTCACGTGACTTACCGCGGTAATTTCAAACTCATAACGTACATTTTTTGTTTACATCAAAAAGGGTTGGGGGAGGGTGGGGGTCGGGGGGGGTGGTCATATGGATCTATTTATCGTTAAAGTTTCAGTCAGTATTAGCATTCGTCTGTTCGGTGTCTGGTAAATAACAAAGAAAGCGTTGTCCTATTCAATGACATGTCCTGAATCAACAAAAGGAATCCTATTGAAGAGTTAGGTTCTTTGGTCTTGGCAGGTTTTGACACCATTGTGGAACCATTTACTTAATTTACATTTACAGTAGCATAGAACCATTTGAGTATATGTTGCGTCACTCTGTTTTTAAGCTGTCTCTCCTTTTGACCCATGTAAGTGAACTGGCACTTACATGTACATTGATAAATACAGCTGGCTTTGGTGTACGGAGACACTTGTTCTTTAACAGGAAAGATTTGGATAGAACTACAGTTTTGCTTCGGGATTCGAACACATTCCGTTCCGAGACTTTGTTCAAATTCTAAATCGTTCGAATTCCAAGAAAAATTGTCCGAATAAAATAATTAAACTAAATGTTTAAATCAAGCGTCGATCACTTGTGGGAGTCCCCGTGGCGGCGCGTCTACACGCTCGCCGCGGATCGGAAGGTCATGGGTTCTCTCCCTGGCGGAGCCAGACTTTTTCAAAAATGACCTTGGCTTCCAGGTCGACCCAGCCTTGAGTGGGTACCGGGTGCAGTCCCCGGAAGTAGAGACGGTCGGCGTGATGCTGACCACATCACTCATCTTGTGCCGATTAGTCTATAAAAATATAGGTCTAGCCCTATATTCCCTTTACGCCTAAAGGTGTGGAAAAGGGTCCTTTACTTTACTTTTCTTACGATCACTTGTAGAAGGCTTGTGGTCACTATTTTTTGGTGACAGCCAACTTTCCATGGTACTCTGGTGTTGGAGAAAATTTGTAATATTTCTAAAATATTTGATAATATGATCATTGACCTAGTACATTGACATATGGCTGTGAAACATGGACCTTAACAGCTGAACTTGAAAGAAAGATACAAGCATTAGAAATACGATGTTTCAGAAAAGTTCTTGGCATATCATACAGAGACCACATTACAAACGAAGACGTGCGCCATAAAATTATACAGCACAGTGGCAACTGTGAACCTCTTTTAACAACAGAGAAAATGAGGAAAATGCAATAGAATATACATTTAATAAGATGTAACAGCCTTTCAAAAACAATACTGCAGTGCTCAGTAGAGGAAAAGAGGAGATGCAGACCAAGAAAGATCTGGTTGCAGAACCTGACTGACTGGACAGGCCTCAGGCATGCAACCATGAAGTCAATCGCAACTGACCACCAAAGATGGAGAAAGCTGATCAGACAGTCAACAGAAACTGGTGACCCAACGACACGCAGTGTTACAGAATGATGATCATCATCATCATCTTCATTAAGTAAACTAAAACACCTGTTAACTAGGGCTCTATCAGGGTGTCACCTCTCGTTTGGATCTTGGTTTGCAGCAGTGCTAATCCTTACAGCTTCCGTCTCTTCTCCCCGGGAAACATGTCGTCTGCAATTTCTGCCTTGTGCTGCTGGTGAAGTTAGTAAGACTCATTCGCGTGACCGGCACGTGTAGGGTAATGGGTTTCCAAGGCGGGGTTCCAGTTTCGAGGCAACATTTACTTAAAAATTCCGTTCGGATTCCAAGTTGTTCAGGTGTTTGAATTGCGAGGTACCACTGTAAAAAATGTTTGGACCTAACGAGTTAGCAAAAAAGACTAGGGACCAAATGGGGGACTCTGACAATGTGAAATGACACAAGGAATTCAGAAAAGTATATTATGCTGGAAAGGGGACCTTTTCTTTACACACACACACGCGCGCAAGCACACACACGCATATATATATATATATATATATATATATATATATATATATATATATATATATATATATATATATATACTAGCTGTACCGCCACGCGTTGCTGTGGCGTAATTTGACTACATGGAAAATAGAGAACATAGAAATGTGTCTTCGCTTCACGCTAGCGATGTACAGAGCAACAGCTAAACCACAGCTAATAAAACTGGTTACAAAAGTGGTTATTTGGTTATCACATGCTAAAGCTGTTTGTATTTTTATAGGAGACGGAAGTAAAGCTACAACTGTACTTGTAAATAACAAAGTAAGTCGTAAAAAATAGAAAAGCGGAGGTAGCGTTAGTAAAATATAAACAAATTAGGTAATGAGAACCTGAAAATCACGTGTAAAGCTCTTTAAGTTCTCTTAAATTTAAGTCATTACCCCCTCCCCTCCCCTCTTCCACCGACTACTGCTCTCTCCCTCTTCGAAGGATTTGAAAATCACTAACTGGCGATATTTTGTTGTTGCTGTAACTGGCATTGACATACCTGTCCATCTAGACTAAAATAAGGAGCAGGAATTGTAAAAGGTAGTGAATAGGGCTAGTGAAATATTTACCACATCATCCTTCAAGTACCAGTACAACTACTAAAATAATGTCACTGCTATCTGTGTTACCATCGGAGTAGACAGAGAGTCGTGAGCCAGAAGATTTAGTTCCGCATGGCTAGTGCTGTCGCCACAGACTGGTCAGGTTAGGATGTATAATTTCACTTGCCGACAGAAGAACGCCATAACCTTACCGGCGGTCTTCACATGAGAGCACTATGGTGTAACAGCCCAACCACAACTATTACTGCTGCTGCTACTTTAAGTGGGTAAAGCAGTTACTGTGACTTAAAGCTCTCTCAGTTAATAGTTTGCCCCCCCTCCCCCCTGCCCCCCCCCCCTAAATTCACCGACAACTCTTTCCCACATTGAAGTAGTTGGGAGGGGGGAAAAAAACACTTGAAAAGCAAATGAACACAGGAAAAAAAAAAACCATAATTAGGAAATGAACGCCATTGTAAACAGCACAGCTTAAAATTCCAACACAGATGAAATAACTAAATCTAAATGAAAATAAATAAAAATCTATAAAATTTCAGCGTAACCATGCAATCGGAAAGTTTAACAATGCAATCATAAGTATGCGAAATGGTCAAATTTAATTATCAAATGGTTTACCCATTTACTGGTTTGTTTGTTTTTTTAAATATTAAGGCAACATGACTAGTGCTGTCACCACGACAGAGCAGATGAGGATATTATTTTAGTCCGGGGTAAAAAAATAAATGAACTACTGCGGATTCGAACCCAGGTCTACCGCACTTGAACCCAGTGTTCTAACCATTCGACCAAGCAGCCACTTAATCGGAACAACGAAAAGAGAACACAACTATTAGACATATGTGTCCCTACAACTGTGTCGCGATTAAAACACAATTCAAAACCGCAGGCAATTGTTTTCTCGTAGACAGATACTCCAGATATATTAATGAAATAGAAATCGCACGTGTCTAACACGGTTAATGAAGTTAATGTCGCAGTCACTGTCTCCCCCGACGTCGAGATAGTCCCCCCCCCCCCCCACCCCCCCCCCCCCCCCCCCCCCCCCCCCCCCCCCCCCCCCCCCCCCCCCCCCCCCCATCGAAGGTTGTTTGAAAAAAAAAACAGAAAATAGAAATCGTGTTTAATATGGTTGTTGTGGCAAATATAGAGATAGTCTTGTTTGCTGTACCACGACCTACTCTATGTATTAGTATTAGAGAAGGCGTTGGCTGCACGTATAACTCGCCGGCGAATGGTAAATACGGCGCATGCGCAATTACTAACGTGGCTATAATTAGAAATCACTAAAGTTATAAATATTAGTTGCGTATATTTTGGCATTAATTGTGGTCACCTATCTCTAACAGTGACAGGTTGAATTTCAAACCACGACGGTTCAAAATCCGGTATCACAACTAACATATCCTGAAAATTTCAGCTAAATCGGTTCAGTAGTTTCCGAGTCTATAGGGGTGAAACAAACATATATATATATATATATATATATATATATATATATATATATATATATATATATATATATTGAAACAGGTGCGCACAACGCAGACAAGAGAATAGTAGTAGTACATTTTACCCCACAAGGACATGACATCACACAAGCGATAAACACCCCATGACACAAAGTGCTACCATGCGGATGAGGATCACCCGTGGAGAGGTCCCGGAAACCGCTTTTAGCCATTAGACCATATTTATGGCCGGGCTATATTGCGGTCCCTGGCAAGAGCCAGAGTGGGACGCTTCAAAATAACAAAAAACTGCA